TGAGATCACAATGGGGAAAGATGATGAAAATTATCGTTGGCTCAGTAGTTGTAGTCTGAGCAGTAGTGGACGAAATTTAGAGAGTTTCAATCAAATTTTCTTTCGGACTTTTCTTGCCACAATAGGTCTGAATTGTATTTTTTCTTTAAGTTTAGGATCTAAACTTAAATTGCCGGCATAAAAAATATGTTTTGAAAAACGTCAATTTTCGTCTCAGTAGCTTAAGAGTGAGGTGCAATATTGCAGAATATCATAATATCAGTCATTGCCATCACTTTTGATATATATCAAAAATTGTCGTACATTTCTTGCAGCTTTCAGTGATAATATCATGGTATATCATTTTTGATAAGAGGTTATGATATTTTGATATTCCCACTGCTAAATAGTCTCCCTCGCTGCCGTTTTTAGTCTCGTCATGCAACGCTCCTCCCCATAAACGGCTGCTCACATTCTAACAGCATTCCTTTCTGCTACTTCAACTAATCACCATTCGGATTACATTATGTCGAGAACTCTGTGTGCCAAAGTAATCTAACGAATCAAATTGTTTGTTTCATCTTGGAGTTCAAAGCTTTCTCACAGGGGTCTTACTGTTGGTTGACTAGGGAAAGCTTCTAGCGCAAGTCTGTATGGATGACTTCGAGTAGGAGACACACCAATAGAACCAATAGGAAATCTTTCCGGTGTATAACATACCTGTTGGCTGATCGCGGTAGAAAATTATTAGTAGAATTGGCTGTAGCATTAGAAGTACAAGTGGTTTTGATCGGATTAAATTGTAAACATTTCGAGGACTTCCCACGGCACGAAGCTTGGATTTCTCTATCGTCGCTCTCAACGTTCAATAAGCACTTTGTTCTGGGAAGTTTGCAATCCTTGAAGATTCCCTTCAATTCATCTTTGAGCTCTTCAAGATGATCAGAGGCCTTTTTGAACTTGATCAATCGTCGGTAGCAAGCTTTACCAACTGACAACATGCTGGTTGCTGAATAGCAGCTTGCAGTCACATCCAGGCAGGAACTAATAATCGCCAGAAAATCAAAGGAACTCTTTCCAAAAATGAATTTTTTCTCTTTTTTCAACTGAAGTTGAACAAATAAAGCAACGATCACTTTGCAAACCTTTTTCGGCATTTCCTCCATCAAGAAACTACGATCAAATGCAGAATTTGAAAATGTGGGAAAAACGATATTGATTACAATCTCCTGAGCTGTGATTTGTCACATAAGAAACGATGTCAGTGATCTCATTGGTGCAAAGACAACAAAGGGAAATGAATGTCCGAATGTGAGCAGTCATTTGTGGGGAGGAGCGTTATGTGACGAGACTAAAATGACTGCGAGGAAGACTAACTTCTAAATGGCTTGATATATCTGATATATGACATCATATCGATATCAAAATATCGATAGTGGTATCATAATATCAAATGTTGGCTTGGATGTGACTAAGTGTCGAAAGGCTTGATTTCTTGATATATCATGATAATATCAGAATATCTTGATAATATCAAGATATTGATAGTGGTATCATAATATCAAATGTTGGCTTGGATGTGACTAAGTGTCGAAAGGCTTGATGTTTTGGTATATGATAATATCAGAATATCATGATATATATCAAAATATCGATAGTGGTACGTATCATAATATCAAATGTTGGCTTGGATGTGACTACTGTAAGTGTTGAAATCTCAAAATCTTATAGTTAATTTGATATTTTGGTATAGTTATCATGAAAATATCAAAATCTCACAATTAATTTGATATTTTGATATTCTGCAATCCCACACCTTGCTGCACTTTAAGGTAAGAGAGGCTCAAAACTGTTTTCTTCTCATTGCACTTTTGGTATGTATTTTGATTAATAATTTAAACCAACAAAGATAGGGAAAAATAGTTTCTTCTATAGCTTGGAAATATATCAGTGCCAATTTATCCCAATTAACTTAAGGTTACTCGATGTTTGAGGGCCACTGATTTATTAGTTTTTAATTGTGGAATGCGAAGTGTGGAATGACTATTGGGGTTTACAATCAACTTGCCCCCCGATCAAATTCCACATGCCAACTTGCACATGTAAATGAACCAACTTGCACACATAATGAGCCAACTCACACACAATGTCTCCTTCCTACAGGCTTTAATAGTGCTTATTTTGCTAGATAAACATTACATGTACAATAGCAGTCATCAAGTTGTCTTGTGTAGTCATAGTTTTCAATCAAACAAGCACAACTTGCGTGATCTACCTGTCATATAATGAGCACAAAAGGTTTCAAATGCTCTGTGAACTGTGTTTGTTGCCACAATATGTTTGACAGGATAAAAGTTAGGATTTCAGAAAGGAGGAGAATTAAGTCAATCAAATATTCATGAAGCACATGGCACAAAAGTGTTAAACTCAGGAGAGCATCAAACAGAGGGGAAAATTGAATGGATGGCAAAATGTGTGGAACAAATCCTGTGCAATCTGTTTCTCAGCTAGAGATCCATGAAACTTTTTTGAGTAGCTAGTGAGCTTTTAGATTTTCGCAAGTTCATGGACAAAGTCTTTCTGCTTTTTTCAAAATTTGTGTGTCAAGTTTTCCTGTAATCATCACTGGCTATTAACATGTCCGTTAGCCCACCTCTGTTTTCATGTGCTTTTCTTTGGGTTGAGAGTTAAGAGTTTTGCATAGTTTTGCAGTGGTTGGTGTGGTTTCATTCCTTGGTTAGACATCATCCTAAATATGTTCAACACTTTTGCCCCTCGTGCTACATGAATATTTGCTTGACTTCTCCTCCTTTCTGAAATCCAAACCTCTATTCTTTCAAATATATCTTGGCTCTAACCTTTCTTGCTCAATAAAGGACAGTTAGATCAAGCATGTCATGCGGGGAATTGTTTGATCCAAAAGGCAGAGCTTACATGAGACAACATTGTGATCTTCAGGTACTTAATAATGTTTATCTAACAAAATAAGCAGTATTCAAGCATGTTGGAAGGTGATATTCATTGTGTGCAAGTATATTTATTAATGTGAGCGAGTTGGTTTGTTACGCATGCAACTTGGTTCCTAAATTGTTTTCCAAAAAACAATTTGTTGAAAATTGTATTGAAACCCATGTGAATTATTTAAAAAAATGTATTTTCTAACTGAACTTTTTGGCCTACTAGGGTGTGATAGCCAATTATAACATGTTAACATAAAGGACTTCAGTAGGGTTTCTTGTGGCAAAACATCATGGTCCTTGAATTTCAGTCTCATAAACATCCCATGATCTCAGTTACACTTGGAGATCTTTGCTATCTCTCCATGTGTTCTCTCTTTGAATGGAGAAAGCTAAAAAGGAGAAGGGTCCATAGGTGATAGTAAAAAGGAAGCTTGGCTGCTAGCACAAAAAGTAAAGAAATTAACACAGAATGGCAAATGAATCTCACCGAAACTGATGAAGGCTTGTTAAGGCGATCTTCACTCTTGCACTCGATCGGCAACCATAAAATTTTGCCGTGGTGTGCTTAAGCTGCTCTTAAGGTGAAAAAAAGAGACTTGAAAGTAAAAATTGCCATTTAGAAGAATTGAACTAAAGGTCTGTCACAGGTAACTGAGAGGTAGTTATCCACAAAATATGTTTTTGCTGAGTCTCCTGAGACTGCAGGATGCTTCTGTGTTCCTATTGGTGGTGGTCGTTTCAAGTTTTTCCAAGTGTTGACATAACCTGACATGTGGTCACCCAATTTTGTATCGTCAAACCCCTTGTGTGCGAGTAGATTGAGCTAAAACAAAACAATTTTTACGTATGATGCACGATCCTCGCAGTAGAGAGCGCTATTTATTCAATAGCGAAAATCAGACCTGAAAAAAATCAGGCCTGTACGGGATTCGAACCGCTGACCTCTGCGGTGCTAGTGCAGCATTCTACCAATTGAGCTAACAAGCCAACTGGGAGCAGGCTGTTAAATTGTTTTGTAATAAGCCCGTGATGATAAATCAGATACAATGTATATATGAAGTTCATATATTTTGAACTGTGGTATTAGATACGTATGACGCACGATCCTCGCAGTAGAGAGTGCTATTTATGCAATAGCGAAAATCAGACCTGAAAAAAATCAGGCCTGTACTGCCAGTAAAAGCTTTGTTTTTTTTTTTTCTTAATTAAAATCATGCATCAGGAAGATTGAAATTACTTTGAGATGTTCATCGTCTTTTGTAGTGTCACTGCTAGAACTGAAAACATAATGTGCTAATGTCTCTAAGGCAGAAATCACAAAAGGAGAAGGCTCAAATTTATATAATTGTGTTGTAGACAGGGGGTTTCTTTAAGTGCTGGGCACAAGCAAATTTACCAGTTGTGAAGATGACTTTACACAGCTGCATTCAAAACGTGAACATACCAAATGAACAGATTTTCCTCTTGTATCCTATTAAAAAAGATGTATTTGACTTTTTAAGGAAGAAACAGTGAATTTGCCTTGTGATGCAACACAAAATGAATAATAATACTTTAGATCACACCTTTCCTATTGTGATATGTTGAGTGGCTCTAATTTGTGCTCTTCTTATCTGGCAAGTGCTTATTAGTAGACAACATTTTTAATAAACCTTATGAAACTTTGTTATAATAAGAGAAGATGATTTTTTTTTCTCTTAAAAGTTTTTTTGTGCCCTTGCAATTGAGGTTGTGGAGTGTTCACAGTTGTAAATAATTATGTTTGGATCAGGAAGTGCAAATGTGGCTTAAAGGAGCTGGGCACATATAGACAATGAAATTAGCACCACTCTCTGGTTTACAGATTGTAGTGTTTCAGTTTTGATTTAAAATTAAAATGAAAACTTAAAAGCATTAAAAAAAAAATAGAATTTGATACAAATTTTCAGTATCTATTCCATTTGAAGCAAAAAAGTGCAGCTACATGTTCTTTTCTCACTGCAATGTATCAGTTGACATATGATTTGGTTAAACACAAACCCTCATAATTTATTGTTTTTGTGTGTATTTTTCTGGTTTAAGATCCTCCTATGGTAACTTTCAAAACTTCTATCCTGCCTGCCCGAAGAGGTGTCCCTGCAAGGTTAACTTGTAATGCGAGTGGTTTTCCTGATCCAAAGATTAGTTGGATGAGACAGACTGGACCCACTGAAAGTGAGATTGATGGTGACAATGGTAACTACCAAATAAACTCCCAACCTGGCTCTTCTGAATTAATTCTAAAGAAAACCATGGTTAATGATCAAGGTTACTACCTTTGCAAAGCTTCAAACTTCAAATCTGATGTAACAAGAGCCTACATAGGGGTTTTATGTAAGTAACAAGAGCTTTGTTGTCTGACCTAACTTAAAGAAGCAATTTCTTGTAGAAACCATACCATTTTACCTCTACTGTTGAATTGTATGTCAGATAATGACACGAATCACTTTTTAGATTCCAAAGAGTAGCCCTTAGCCTTTCCAAAATTAGAAAATAAAGTATCAATGTTCATCTCATGATGCAGTCACTTGGATGTGGATACATCATATCACGTGCTAGCCATCTTCAAACCTCATGAGGCTGACTGGGTATTATCGTAATAATGAAGTTTGGATTTAACATGCACTATCATTGTTTGAAAGAGCGTGTTTATCAGAGTACAAACACAGAACTGAGGTAAAACTGTCATGCCATTTGCCAATTTTTATAGTGTCTGATCACTCCCTGGATTTCCCTTTACCTTCTTTTTGTTAATTGAAAGTGAAATTGTAGAATAACCAAGCCAGCAAGTGGCAACAGAAGAACCAAACAGGTTTGTAAACATGCAAAGGGCCCTAATTTATGTTATTGTGAGCAGAGACCAAACTACCAAAAGAGAATACAAAGTGGACTGTCCAAGTTTTAAAGGTTTTCCCACTCATTTAGATAGTAAGCTTATGTACACTAATAAAATTCCAACACAGCCAACACTCTTCTGGTTTATATAGTTTTGTGTCCATGCACAAAACAGAAAAAACAGGAATATTTGATAGGCAGCCATGCTTCTGTTCTATTCCATCGTCCATGTTGTTGTAGCTGGTGTAATGCGTATTCGTCCAGGATTTTAAATTATGGGGTCATGGTCAATAAACTTCACTTTGAGGCATTCCATCAGCTTCCAGTTTTGTGGGCTTGTTCTAAAACAACAAAGGTCTTTATCATAGGAAATCATATGTTGCAAGCCATAACTGTCCTCTTCTCTTTTTAGAGCACACAGGAAGTGGCTGGAGCACTTAAGAAGTGTAGGGGAAACACATGACGAAGTCAAGGTTTTTCCCCTACTTCTCAAGTCCTCTAGCCACTTCTTGGGTGCTTTACAACAGAGCAGAAGTCTTTAGTTAATAGATGCAATGGACAAGTGGGTGTTAAATCAAAAGAAACACATTTTGCTTTGCACGTGGGTTATCATCCTAAAATGTAGCATTTGTGCTGTTCTGGAGAATGCAAAAATTAACTCTGAGAAACGTAGAGATATTTTATTAGTAAGGCTTTATTGAAGACATGGATCCCAAAGATGCAAAAATATTCCAAATTATTTGAATGTAAACAACCAAAGCTAATTAAAGATTTGTAGTGAGCACCTTAAAGCTGAATTTTAATCGGCAAAAAAACGCAGATTAAAAAGCATAAAGCAGTCGATCCCTTCCATAATATTGCTTGGAGTAAGCTAGGAAATTCCAGAAACTGTGGATAGGCCTGTGGTAGAAAAGCTGAATACTAGTAATACGGCAAGAAGAAGAAGAAGTGACTGACATCGCATCTGAGGGCAAAGGTGATGAAACTTTAGATATGACCTCACACAAGACTGATGATTTCTGAAATAAAGTAATGGATATATCTCACAGGATAGTTTTTCTGTTAACCACTTGCTATCAAAGTGCACTACACTCTCTAAAGAAGAGAAGCTTTTCACACACTTCACTGCATGGTTTCACTCTTATGTTACTTTCATGAGTGCCCTTAAATATTTTATTACCCAATCTCAATAGGAAAATTTGACATATTGGAATAGTGAGGCTGGAAAATCGAGTCTGATAGACATTGAAAAACTGTTACAGGAAAGGTGAAACTGAACAAGGGAATGATAACTTTGAAAGGAAATGAACAATGACAAGACCCTTTGCATACCGTGGTGAATTAGTTTCACATGATACTGATGAAGCTGAGAATGAGATTGTCTAACATTGATTTAGTAGAGAGGTTTTATGTCTGTGAGAGTACTGTCAATAACATCTATCTTATCTAGGTTAATTTTGTGTACACTTGGTAATTGGCAGCCATAAAATAATATGGCCACATGAAGATAAAACTTTAAAGCATTCACTAGAGGAATTTATTAAGAAATATCCAAACAATGTTGTGATTGTTGATACAACTGAATTAGAAATCCTAGTTCATTACAAAAGCACATTGAAAGCACAGTGAGAATTACAGTACTTACAAGTTCCACACAATTTACTTTATAGTCTCCCACAGGAGTGGATCCTTATGTAGGCATTATCTTTGTGTCGCAATTACTTGGGGGCTCCATCTCTTTCTGACAAAAAAAATAGTGCAGACGTCTGAGTTTCTGGAAACTGTTGAACAGAAAGTACTAAGTGGAGAACTAAAAGGAGCTGCCATCATGGCAGACAAAAGTTTTGATATTGGTGATGACCTTGCAAAATTGAGATTGAATTTCATTATTTTTCCCTTCTTAAGGGACAAAGTGGGATTTGAAGGAGGTGATGTAATAAAGACTCAGACAGTATAGAGCGCCATTGCTTTTAAGAAGAAGAGGCACAGGGAGAGTTCCAAGATTCAGAATTTTCTACTCTTTCATTCTAGTCTCAGTGTTTGGCAGTATTAATCAGATATGGGGTGCTGATGTTTTTATGCTAAATTTTACACTCATTCCTTTCTGGAAATGAAATATCACAAAAGATAATTATTCTTCTGCTGGTCTTTCTTTGATTTCACAACTATGGTGTTTCACAACATCAGTTTGAGTGGTGAACTCAAGATGTGCAACAAAATGTTTTTTTAAAACCAAGGTAAAATCACAGGGTGTGTGGACTGACTAAAGGAAGAGAGACAAGCCTTGTCTAGAAAAAAAAATTACCTTAGATACATAAAAGATACCCAAAAGAAAGACCCCCCCAAAAAAGAAGCATAGGGTCCCTGTAATATTATGGGAAACATAGTCTGATAATGGCCAGGCCTATCCTCTACTTCGTGTTGCTTTATTTAGCTGATAAGCATTAAGGTATTCCCTTGCATTTGGATACAATATTGATGCTAGATAGAATATAACATATAAACACGGGGAATATATGGTGCTTTTTACAGTGTGATATGCCTATTGCTGCCACTTGCCCATAATTTCCAAGTTACGTTTAAGTACTTTCAACAATCGCCCATACTTAATGTTCACACAGTTGGAATTCAAAAAAGGTTTTATTTACTTAGTCTAATGGTATCACTGTACTGGCATGCATCATATAAGTATTCAAAACCTGATAATATAAATTTGTTCTGTTGTCTTACGACAAAGTCACTAGATGTAGAACGCAATGATTCGACTGCTTACTACGAGTCTTCAGGCGGTGAGGTCAACTGGTTGCGGCACAGCATTGTATATAATGGTGGTCTGTTGTGATTGGTGCATTTTGATCCACCTATTGTTTCCATGCACCATGGTTTCCTCAGGCATTTGTTGATTTTGCGCGCGTTTTTGGTTTTGATGTTTTCTTACAGAAAGAAACAAAAATTCAAGAAGCTTCTCCTTGAACAGAAAGCAGGCAATGGGTGAATCTTGACACCTAAAGTTGACCAAAAATATTGGGTCATAGACCTGTCCTCCAGAACACTCAGCGATGCAGAAACCACCCTTCTCAAGAAAGGACTAAACTTCGCCTTTACACTGACCAACATTCCGGCCTCAGAAATCATCGCAAAGGTTGAAACAGCCTTCAGACCACTCAATGTGGAACAAGCAGACACAGTATGAAGAACCATGAGCAACAAACTTCATAAGGCCGTACCACCCAAGCCTAACATTACAATGGAAATGCGAAATGCGCTTAAAAGTCTCAAATAAGACCATTCCATCCTAATCCTACCAGCAGACAAAGGCTGTGCAAGTGTAGCCCTCGACACGGAAACCTACCACTCCGAGATGCCAACACTGATCGAGACCAGACTGTAATAACTCCTGAACAAAGACCCAACAGACTGCTTGAGACAAAAAGCCACCGAAAAGCTGCTACAACTCAAACGAAGCGGGAACCTCTCGGAGACGGAATACAACAAGATCAGACTGAAGCAGAAGCAACCACATAAAATCTACGGCGTACCAAAAATGCACAAAATCAACATACCGCTCAGACCCATTATGTCCTGTGTCAACACCCTTTGCTTACGACCCATTGGCTTACCTAGCTAGAATTTGGTCTCCTCTCACAGGTAACTTAACTACACAGTTGAGAACTTAAGAGAATTTGCGAACATTATCAGCAAAGAGACCATCCAAACAGACAAAGTAATGATATCCTTTGACGTCAAGTCGCTATTCGCCAACCTCCCTATTGAAGAAGCAGTACAGGCCATGTTACATAGACTCAATGATCCGAGCCTACCAGACCGCACTGCGCTCACGCCTACCCAGGTTACCGACCTACTAAATTTTGTTCTGAGGTCCTCATACTTCAAGTACAACGGAGCACTTTACAAGCGACAAGAAGGAGCACCAATGGGCAGCCCAATTTCTGCTGTAATGGCCAATCTCTACATGGAAGCTTTCAAAGAACGAACCTTAGCTACAGCCCCAGAACCACCGAGAATATAGAAGCGCTATGTAGATGATACTTTCATCGTCATGAAGCATCACAACGTGGATAATTTCCTGAAGCACCTCAACCAACAACACTCGTCTATCCACTTCACCATAGAAACCGAGAATAACAACAAGATCACCTTTCTCGACACCCTCATAACAAGGGAACCAGATGGCAAACTACTCACAAGTGTATACAGAAAACCCACACACACTGGCCAGTACCTCACATATGATTCACACTATCCACAATCAGTTAAACACGGTGTTGTCAAATGTTTACATGACCGCGCCAAACGCATCATCACGAAGCCATCAAGAACAGCCCAGGAGAAGAAACATCTATCTACAGTTCTCGTCACCAAAAGCTAACCTCCATCCGTCTTACAGAAGGTAACCAAAACCAGGAATCCAACACTAGAGAGGAAAACAGCAGAATTTAAGTCTACTGCAGTGCTGCCATACATCAAAGGGGTCTCTG